ATTTACTAAGACACTATTCTTTAATTTTTAATCTATGGTAATGGACTGCCACATAATAGGTAACATCAACATCTTAGGTAGCTGAAGCAGCGAGGGGCTACGCTCTGACAAAGAGGACCCTCTGAAGGTCTTGAATCGAGGGAGATGTTTGCAGAGTAGTATAAGTGGGGCCAGAAAAATGAATGCAGATGTAAGTAAATAGCTAGGGAACAAATACAAGACCTTTGTAATGTTTATTCCTTTTCCTACCTATTAGACATGAACATTAATATATGAGTAGGGCATCCCATATATAGAATTCTAACTAAATACTACCTTTAAGCTAAACAGCAAGTTTAATGGTCTGTTTTCAGCAGATAACTATTATTTATGAACCAGCCTGAGTAAAGCTTACTCTTGGGGGATACATTTTCCATATTCTAGGCTGACATTTCTAGGTCCCTGAACAGATCTTATTAGCTTGGTGATTTTAATCTCCACCTTTTAAAAATGAAGGTCTTTGGCTTAGAATTTTTTCACTTGATTTATACCTTCCTTATCCTTTTCATCATGCTGCTATCTACCGAGTGATATTAAAGAGTGATTTTTGGACTTGATCGACACCACAGACATCCTTTTGATTTAACAGTTGAATATACACAGGTTTTAGTGATTAGTTTAAAATTCCCTGCAAACTATGTTTATCTGGTGAGCTCTTGAAACAGAATAAGCAACTTCTTAACCTTGAAAAGAGATTGATGCCACTGTATTTTCTGTCACTTTGGGCAATATTACCTCTAGCATTTACTGGCTGTGGCCATTACCCAACTACAGTTCATTTAGAGTCTGAAATGGCAGTATCAGTTCTTTTCTGTGTCTTCTTTTCTGTATTACATATTCATAGTTTACAAATAAACTGACATGTATATTAATCAGCTCTCCAGTGTAAACATAGCTGGAGCAAGGCCATACATCATCCCAAAATTGCTACCTAAGTTCTAATTCCAAAATCTTTATTGCTGCTGATGATAAATGGCATAAATAAAAGAGGAAATTTGGAGTTTTCAGTAGTCTGGTAGCTGTAAGAAAAATAATGTTCTGCATTTTGAAAAATATTTTTGAATGGGTTGGATGAACTAATAAAGATTAAACACCACAAAATGCACATTTACCATTTTTTCTTTGGGTTTAGTTTAGATTAATATAATATTAATAAGTCTCATCGTGCTTCCTGGAACAGTTTCAGGATTCATTGTCCAAGTCTAAGAATTTAACCAATGCTGAAGCAATAGCCAAAATACTTACTGACAGCATTAGGATGATAGCCATCTGCTTAAGTGGGCTTATCATTATTTTTTATTATATATAGATATGTTACATCATTCTTCCTTTTTGCACAATGTATGCTTTCTCCTCTCAGGTGTAGTCCTTGTGAAATTCCCACCACCAATTCCAATGGTCTTAAATTTCAGTAGTTTCACACAAGGTGAAATAATCATAGTCACAAGATAAAGAACCTGCCAGAGTCTGAGAAATGTAGGCAGATGCCTACAGATCATGATGAAGGTAAGACATGCAGTAGAATGTCTTCAATCTTTTATAGCACTGAAACTTGGAACTGTCTAATGATGTTAAGGAAAGATGCTTAACGCTGTCCATCAGCCTCTGAAACATCACCCTAATGAAATTTCAAGGCTGTGCTCCATAGATCACTGGAACAGATATTAGGGTTGAAAAGGTCTCGTTGATATGAATGGTATTAGTCATCTGCATGCCCAATAGGAGATGCCACCTTAAATATCATATTTTGATTAACTCTGAAAGAAATACATCTACTAAGAGGAAGGAAGTGCCACCTGAAGGTCTACTGAAAAGCAGGTGATACGTTCCATGAAAAGTAGGCTAGCACAGCTAACAGCACAGCTTCCCAAGACAGCGTAGCAGAGCAAAACACAAAGACAAAGAGGTGGTGTTGCACGCATGTAAATACAAGAAAACAATTCATGGAGCACACTCTACAGCCTTATCTACCAAGG